TGAAGTCAAAGAAGCATACCTTATTGAAGAGAGGTTGAATGGTATCGTAATTGCTGTCCGAAGTATTGCAAAAACTATTGAGCATTGGTATCTCGCAGAGTTTCAGCTCGTTCAATTGCAGCAACTCAATTCCATTCATAGCCTCACAGATAGCAGTAAAACTTGGTAGGTATGCAAGATACAAATCCTTTAGTTTGGGAAACACAATTTTATCTGTTGTTTCTGTTGTTGTTGATGCTATCTCATTTTGATCTCCTTCTTCTTCACTCGAAATAAGTACTTCCATCTTACGACATTCAGATACATGAAGTTTCTGGAGTTGCATCAGATCTCTGGCTATGGATAATGAGAACATGCTTTCCAGTTTATGACATCTCTTCAGTCCTAGAGAAGTCAGGTTGCGGAGCCGTACAAGTTGAGTAGGACCCTTCCACAAATGGCCATGACAAATCTCTTTCAATTTATCTAAATTATTGAGATATAGCGACTGCAACACAGGGAAGGCTATTTGTGGAAATGGAACCCCATCTGTTGTGTCAATGACATATTCCAGATCCTGACAATCTTCCAAGGACAATTCTGTTAATTTTTTGAAACCATCTTTGTCTAAATCATAGCCAACATTCTTCACACCTACTGCTCGTGTTATTTCTACAATTTTAGTGATCTTGAGAAGATTCTTGAACTCACTCTCCATAAGATCGCTCTTGTGAAGAACATCGAGACTCAACTTGTTTTGTAACTGATAATCAGGACAATATCTAGGATGGAGCCCAGTGGTTATAGTGAATGCTTTTAGATTCATAAGGACCAAGTCTCTTGGCCAGTATGCAAAATGTCGTAGGTGAATGACCAAAGTTGTAAAATTAGACGATTTTCCCCTCAAACCTTCTTTTCTTTTCCCGGAATTAGAAGAAATTGGATTTTTCAACACCGCTTCGCCATTTGGGATTTTCTCAGAAACAGAGGAACCCTCATTAGTACTTGCAAATTCAGTTCGATCTGAGGTAGCAGACTCCAGAACTTTCCTGAATTTTGTGTCTGAGCCAATTGACGACCTCATTTCCATTTGGGTTTGTGTTGAATTCGTGTTTTCTTGAGCACCCACGGGAGATACAGCTGCCTTGATAGAAGGACTTCTCGAAACTCTCGGCAACTTCACACTTGCCATCAATGGACTCAATCTATATGGCAATTCACCATTGTTCAAACCCAGTTGGCTTGTTCTTCCATTGAAACTCCGACTTCCGAAGCAGGAAAACTTCGCTGCCCTCTCGGCGAACCAAGGATCGGCAGAAAGTGATGGCAGATTGTGCCAAAACACTTCATAATAAGTTATCATCAAGAGAAGAAGAGCTTCGAAGTCGTGTACGAAGAAAGCTCCGGAGTCGTGTCTGAAGAAGGCGAAGAGGAGCTTCGGAGTCGTCTCTGAAGAGAGCTCTGGAGTCGTGTCTGAAGAGGGAGAATAGGGCCTTCGGATTGGTCTGAAGAATAAGGGTTTTGGGAAAACAAAGTGAAGATGGTTTGTGAACTGAACATACAATAATCGGTGAACAAAATTGTAACCGGTTGAGAGGGTATTCAATATTTTCAATCAAATTATTTGATGGTTGAGATTAATTTATAAATATCTAATGGCTTAAAATAAATGTGTACATGATGTGCACTATTTTATAAGGTGCACATCTTAACAGCTCCCAAGTAAATATGAGCCAAAATAATTAAGTGTGGACTAATCAAATAAAACTCAAAAATTAAATTTATATTCAAATCTAGTATCCTTTTTGAACGGAGATTTAATACTCAAGACTCAAGAATAATTAAAACTAAAAAAAAAACTGTCAAGCGGGCCTCACGAAGTTGAAATAAAAAAATAATATAATTTATTTTTATCAATTTAAATAGAATGGTCTACCATATAACAAACATAATTAAGTAATTTAAAAATTCATATCAATCTAACTCTAAATAATACCCGAACTCAAAAACACACTAAAAAAATTATTAAACAAGTATCGATAAAAAAACAAATTAAACAAGTATCGATAAAAAAACAAATTGAATTTAGATTCAACTCGTTACGATCTGAAGTCAAAGAAGCATACCTTATTGAAGAGAGGTTGAATAGTATCGTAATTGCTATCCGAAGTATTGCAAAAACTATTGAGCTTTGGTATCTCGCTGAGTATCAGCTTGTTCAATTGCAGCAACTCAATTCCATTCATAGCCTCACAGATAGCAGTAAAACTTGGTAGGTATGCAAGATACAAATCCTTTAGTTTGGGAAACACAATTTTATCTGTTGTTTCTGTTGTTGTTGATGCTATCTCATTTTGATCTCCTTCTTCTTCACTCGAAATAAGTACTTCCATCTTACGACAATGATATACATGAAGTATCTGTAGTTGTATCAGATCTCTGGCTATGGATAATGAGAACATCCTTTCCAGTTTATGACAGATCCTCAGTTCTAGAGAAGTCAGGTTGCGGAGCCGTACAAATTGAGTAGGACCCTTCCACAAATGTGTCAATGCGGGCAAGTCGCATAGTTTCAGCCTTTTTAAGGCACTGAAGGCCTCCTCTGGTAGTTGGCCATGACAAATCTCTTTCAATTTATCTAAATTATCGAGACATAGCGACTGCAACACAGGGAAGGCTATTTGTGGAAATGGAACCCCATCTGTTGTGTCAATGACATATTCCAGATCCTGACAATCTTCCAAGGACAATTCTGTTAATTTTTTGAAACCATCTTTGTCTAAATCATAGCCAACATTCTTCACACCTACTGCTCGTGTTATTTCTACAATTTTAGTGATCTTGAGAAGATTCTTGCATTCACTCTCCATAAGATCGCTCTCATGAAGATCCTCGAGACTCAACTGGTTTTGTAACTGATAATCACGATAACCTCTAGTGCCGATCATCCTCTGAGATAAATATCCAGTAGGCAACCCAATGGTTACAGCGAATGCTTTTAGATTCGTAAGGACCAAGTCTCTTGGCCAGTATGCAACATGTCGTAGTTGAATGACCAAAGTTGTAAAATTAGACAACCCACACAGCTCAGTGAAAGTCGCTTTAGCTTCTTCTATCCTGTTTTCATCATTAAAGCTAGACCCCAGATACAACTCTTCTAGCTTTGATAAGCTCGACAGAACACCTGGGCAAATCCTCTCCACACCACATCGCAACAAATCCAGTAGCTTCAAGTGACTAAGCCGGCCTATTTCTTTTGGCAACTCCTCGATTTCGGTGCCTTCAAAACTCAAAATTTCTAGATTCTCTAACGCTCCTATTACAGATACATCATTGATCAGTCCGCATTCGTATAGTGACAAGCTTCGGAGGTTGGTCAACCATCGCAGGGATGTCGGCAGTGATCCTTCTATGTACACATTCAACATGCTTAAAGCTTTGAGTTCCTTCATCCCTCCGTAGAAACTATCTGGGAGATTTGTTATTTTTGATGCATACCTGTACCGATAATTGTCCTCTAGCCGTAAAAGATGGAGTTTTGGAAATTCTAGATTATCAGGCAGCTTGCTCATACCAGTGCATCGCAATGAAATTACAGCATAATTTTTGTGTCGTTCTTTCTCCGGCCATTCTTTCAATGCTTCGTCACATCTTACCATAAATGAATGCTCCTCCCTAGATGCTATTGATATAGCAACATCACGAACTACATCATGGATTTTAACACAACCTTCTTGTTCACCATCCATCAAGAGATAGCCTTTTTTTAAGTCATCGACAAAGGCATGTACTCTGTCTCTTGCTTCGTTGACACTATCAATGGCCTCAAACATCTCTATCCCAACTCCATATCTAACAAGATCTTCAATTGGAATATTAAAATCTTCAGCATATAAGGAGCAGAGCAAAAAACATTCCTTAATTTCTCTACTTCCTAAGAAGTTGTAACTCAACTCTAGAGATTTAAACACATTTTCTTCTACTTCCCTGATGTTTTTTACCATGGACTTACGTAACTGTAGAAGGGCTGAATTCCATGACTGCTCATCTTTACCTTTGAGTGCCCTCGCAACTGTAACAATAGCAATCGGCAAACATCCACATTCATCCACAACTTTCTTCTGCGTGATATACAAATCAGTACTTGTGTGACTCGTGTTGTTGGAAATTCCAGCCATCTCCTGAAAGAGATTCCATGCTTCTTCTTCAGTCAAGACTTCAATTGTAAATTTCGTTTGAGCATTCATATCGTTGCATACATTATCAAATCTAGAAGTCAGTAAAATTTTGCAACCTCTATGACCATCTCCAAATGGAATTCCTACGTCATTCAGTTCGAGACGCCTCCAAACATCGTCCAATATGACAAGGATTCTATTGGTGCGCCTTAGTCTTTCACACAGTCGATTTGCTCTTCCACGTTCAGTCTCCTCCTCAAATTTCAAACCCAAATTATCTCCAATTTCACCTTGAATCTTTCTTTCATTAGGACTTTGGGACACTACAGCCATCACAACCTCATCGAACAATTTCTCTTCTTTTGCTCTTTTGGCAACTTCTTTCACCATTGTTGTCTTACCAACACCTCCCATCCCACATATTGTAATCATGTGGAATCTATCATCCTTCAGTGCCTCCATGACATCGTTCATAATCAATCTTCTAGATTCAAAAAGCTTAATACCTTCAGTGGATGTGAATTCTATCCCAGGTAGAGGCTCGTTGTAGGCCACTTCCATCAGTTTCCTCTCTTCGTGCAACTGAGCCACCTCTTTTGCCTTGTTGGTTGCTTTCTTACTGAGCGAGTAACGTAACGGCAGATTTGGACACCACCCATATAGACACCCTTTGTTTGCTTCAACTTCATCTTTTAGAATTTCTCTGGCCTCTATGCGGCAGTTATCAACCCTTTCCAGCCACCCCTTAACATCAGGTCCGATACGTTTTACATTTCTTTTTGCTTCATCAACTGATAGCTGCATTGCATTTCTTTTCTCATCCAACTTCTTGACTTCATCTTTCAGATTCTTGACCTTGCTTTTGTAGGTAAATAGATAACCGAAATGACGGCCAACTGGAGCCATTAGAAATTCTCCAATCTTGCCTACAGTTGGACCAACAAAACCAACCCAACCAGTAGCCATTTCTCACTTCTATTTCAGTTATGTACCTCTCTCCCTGTTTCTTTTCTTTTTTTTTCTTTTTTTTTTCCCTTTTTATGGAATGCAATATGTAAAACTAGAAGAAACAAACAACTATTGAAAACAGAATAGTAATTGCTGAACACAGAGTTAAAATAGAGTGGCAGAGGAAGAGATTACAAAGATTTCTAGAACAGAAGAAGATATACAGAGATTTCTTTATCCTGGTAAGTAACAGTTGAACAAAGAGAAATACAATTTTGTAGAGGACATGAAGATATCAAAGGAACACTTTGCAAGAGGGGATCTAAAGTTTTTTTTTTTTTTGACAAGCAAGGTTGACTATAGAGAATTACAATATAATTGGACAAAGAGAACTTGTGTTGTAAAACAGAAATTGCAAAGAAGAAAGTGAGCTTAGTAAAATGAAAACAGAATGCAGAGAAAATTACAAAGTTTCCTAAAATCAAAAGAGAATACAGGAATTTTTTTTGTTTTTTTCTGGTAAACAACAGTGGAACACAGAGATTTATAATAAAACTGAAGACAGAAAGTACGTAGAGATTTAAACAGAGAGAAATAATAGAATTGAAGTGGAAGTGGAAGTGAAGAAAGAAAAACCTTGGAAACTTTCCAGAGTGTCTTAGAGGTGAAACATGCACAGCCTTAACAACTCAGTCGACGGTGAAGAGAAAAGCTTTTCACCAAAGACAAACAAGACCATTAACATCCATCAAAGAGAAACAATCAGATTCAGAGAGGTTTTGAAGGAGAGTTTGAGGAGGAGAGAACATTTTGAGATCAGTACTATGCTCTTAGATCTAAAATTATTGGAGGGGGGACTATTTTGAGATCAACAAAGATTCATTCCACTAAAAACATCACCACTAATAGTATTAATTCTTGGTCTTTTGACTCGGTCCTTTCAAAATTTGCTTTGTGATTTTTTTTTTTAAAAAAAAATTGGTTATTTACCACACTGTAATCTAATTTAGCGAAGGGGAGGAAAGCAATGGCGGACCCAAGGGGGGCAACACTGCCCCTGCAAACTATTTCAAAATTTTCGGTAATATTATGGATTTACCCTTTTAGGACATGTTTGATTGATAGGATTAGAACATGAGATTAGAATTATTAATCTGTGGGCCCAATAATCCTGTGTTTGTTTTGAAATTTTGTTTTAGGATTATTAATCCAATGGATAATTAATCCAACAAATTTGTAGGATTATTAATAATGGAGTAGGGTGGGATTATATATCCTGATCTAAGAAATAAAATAAAAGACTCTTTTACCTACTAATCCAATGCAAATCAAACAATGAACAAGAGGATAATTTATCCTATTAATCCAATTGGATAGTGAATACCATATTAATTTAATGAAATTATTAATACCTTCACTATTAGTCTTGTGAATCAAACATGACCTTAGTTCACAATTTGTGAAGGGTTGGGCCCTGAAAAATAAAATAAAATAAATAAAAAAATCCTTCTTCAAAGCCTCAAATTGTTTCTATTCTTCTATTAGAGTCATCTTACAATACTGTATATAGTATGTAAATTATGGTCCAAATGGATGTTCGTTTCAAATCATTGTGTCTATGAGACCAACAAATTATCAAATCAAATTAGTTACATCTTATTATGATGTTTGATTATATCTAGAAATAGTATTAGTTATGATTCATTGTAATTTTTAGTTACTACTTAAATAATCATTGAAAAATTCGTCACATAAAAATGTCACTAATTGTAAGTTTTAGCAACAATTTAAAAAAAAAACGTAACCAAAAAAAAGTCACTAATTGTTAATTTTTAGCGACATATGCAAAAAATCATCATAAAAAATTATTTTTAGCGACAATTTTATTAGAACTTATTTTCACTAGTACTTGATAGGAATTAAGACCAACTATTCGTACCAATTCGTATTTTACCCTTTAAATAATTTGGTCAAAGTTCGCAAAATTACAGCCCAATTCATATTAGTTTAGCTAAACTTTTAGTCAAAAGATATAGGACAAATTATGCCTACAGTCTCTATACTTGCCTCTCATGTCAATTTGGTTTCTGTAATATTAATTTTGCCCTTTAATTTTTTAAATTGTGTCAATCTAGTCTAAGTGATAATAGCCTTTTAAAAAATTGAATAAAAATCAAAGGCAAGATGAACTATTAAAAAGGGAATGAATCATTTCAAATTGGATGCGAATCCTTCAATAACTTTGAAGGGAATTAAAAAAAACCATTTTATCTCTTAATTTTAGTCCAATTTCTAAATGAAATATTGTCAATTAGACTAAATTGATACCATGTGCAAAATCGAAAGGTAAAATTGATGCAATTAAAATTACAAGAACCAAATTGATATAAAACAAACTAGAAAAATTAAATGTAATTTGTCTAAAGAAATACGACGCATAAAAAGAGAAATTTGTTCCTAAATACTAATTAATTTCAAGTGTAGTTTGACGTACTTATTTTTCAATCCAACAACATATTCAATCCAAAATATGTTGTGTTCTCATTATAGCCCAAAAGGTCAAATGAAAATAGCAAAATAATAACTAAATTTATAAAACAAATTTGTAGGATTATTAATATTGGGGTAAAGGTGGAATTATATATCCTAATCTAAGAAATAAAATAAAAAAGAAAAACTCTTTTACCTACTAATCCAATGCAAATCAAACAATGGATAAGAGGATAATTTATCCTACTAATCCAATTGAATAATGAATACCATATTAATTTAATAGAATTATTAATACCTTCACTATTAGTCTTGTGAATCGAATATGGCCTTAGTTTACAATTTGTGAAGGGTTGGCCCCTAGAAAGAGAAATAAAAAAATATCCTTCTTCAAAGCCTCAAATTGTTTCTATTATTCAATTAGAGTCATATTACAATACCGTATATAGTATGTAAATTATGATCCAAATGGATGCTAGTTTCAAATCATTGTGTCTATGAGACCAACAAATTATCAAATCAAATTAGTTTACGTCTTATTATGATGTTTGATTATATCTAGAAATAGTATTAGTTACGATTCATTGTGTTTTTTGGTTACTACTAAAATAATCATTAATTATGACTCAAATTGCTTTTAGTTATGATCCACATTTGTATGTTATTATTTTTAATTTTTTTTTTGTTTGCACAAGTGTAAAAAATACTTTATAATCCAATTTTGATACTTTTTTGTTTTTATTAATGAGTATTAGATTTTGATTAAAAAATTTATTTACAAATTTAATGATAAAGTTCAATTTTTATGTTTATAAAGTGAATTAACATACGTAGGAAACTTTGGTAAAAATGTACAAAAATTAATGTATAGTTAATTTTTAATTGTATAGAATTTGGCCTCCTCTTAACGAGATTTTTATGTCCACCACTCAAAGTGAGTCATAAAGGGAGTCCTTACCACTTGGACTACCTTGTCTCAAAAGAAGAAGAAAAAAAAAAATTACTCATGGCATGCTATCAATAAAAATCATAGTGTTAAAATATTTATGATCCCTCCATATGATATAATTTTTATTATATTAAATATATTATAAAATAAAATAAAAAATAAATTCAAAATATTATGATAAATTACATTGACCTATTTGAGATGTAAAAAAAGGGTAAATTACATTGGCACCTCCTGAGGTTTAATCTAATTACATTCCACCGATGTGGTTAATATTCTCATTTTACAAATCCCTTCCTTATATAAAAAGTAATAACTCTTAGTAGAAAAATAGAAAAAATCACATTGAAAAAAAAATAAAACAAAAGAAGATAAATAAATAAATAAATAAAATAAGAAAAAGGAGAGTACATGAATTTAATATTTTCATTTTGTTTAAATAATTATAAAAACTAGAAGGTTAATGTAATTTTCTAAATGTCAAAAAATAATAAATATTAAACATAAAGTGTAAGGGTAATATACCCTTAATTAAACATAAAGTGTAAGGGTAATATACCCTTAATACTGAACCGGGCTCTTTGGATTGAGATGCTTTTCATGTTCAAACGCATTATTTTAATCTCTACATCTATTCATTGGACAAAGTTAAATACTTTTATGCCTTCATGGAACACATCCCATGTAATGCGAGTCCGGATCCTCTCCAGCCAGCCTCTCCAGCCATTCCTCCTGTCAATGGCCAAGATTTGGCCACGTCACTTTGGCTCCAAAGAACGGCTCAGATCAAGTTTGATTTTAAAAAAAAAAAAATTGATTTTTTTTTCATTCGACATAGCAACAGAGCGTCCGGCTTGCAGAGCTACTCCGGCATCCCATTCGGCCGGCGAAGCCATCTCTAACGCCCTCTCAGCCTATCTCTCCTTCCTTTTCTCCTTTATTTCACCTCCTTTCTTTCTCTCTCTTCAAACCCACAAACCTTTTCTCTCTAATCTGCAATCGATTAGAGAGATTGAAAATGCCAAAATTCAAACCGGAATATTCAAGTAAGAAATGAAGAGAAATGCTTTGATTTTCTTGAAGTCGTGCATGTCGATGATCTCCCAGACATTACAAGAGCATTGAAACCCAAATCATGAAACTGAGATCGTTGAGCCATGAACATGGAAACCTATATCATTGAATCGATCTTTGAATTGGTTGAGCATTGATTGAGCTCTGAACTGATTGGGTTGAGCTTCAATTGATATATGATTAACCTTCAATTCAAATTTGAATCTAGATTTGTTCCACTGCTGCAAATCGTTGTTATCGGGTCAGAAAGAGAAGCAAGAATGGTAGGGAGAAGCAAGAAACTTCTGCTTGGTGATGGTAGTTCGGCATCGGAATTGGCACGGCATTGGCATCGACATCGACAGTGCTCCTGTAAAGAGAGAGGAGAGTTTAGGAGAGAGAGAGAGAGAGAGAGAGAGAGAGACATGAGAGTTTGACAGAGGGAAACTCCATTGCTGTGTTGAATTTTTTTTTTTTTAACCAAACTTGATCTGAGCCGTTCTTTGGAGCCAAAGTGACGTGGCCAAATCTTGGCCATTGACAGGAGGAATGGCTGGAGAGGCTGGCTGGAGAGGATCCGGACTCATGTAATGCGGTGTCCCACTTTGCTTTTGCTTGTGCTTTATTTTTTGCTTTTGCTTTTGCTTTTACTTTTGGGTAATTATTACAGTAATGACTGGGGCCGAATAAGGTTTAATTTGGTTGGATTTAAGAATAAAAATTTGTTTGGAAATATGTTATTTTAATAATTTTTTAATTTTTATAAAAAAATATATAAAAAAATAAGAAAATGGTATAATTCAAAAAAGATAAAAAGATAATATATGTGATTTTAGATTTTTCTCAAAAAATCTATAAATTAAAATTAAAATTAAAATCAAATCATTATTGATGATTTAGGAAATTTAGGATTAAATTAGATTATGAAAATTTTATAATCAAATTAGATTGAATCAATACTATGTTGATTGTTTCAATTTAAAATCACGAATTTTTATAACATTGTCATTGTTCATAAAATGATTATAAAATATTATTTATAATTTGTTCAAACATTAATATATCATCATTTTACAAATAAAAATATTTTAGATAATTATTTTAGAATTAATTTTACTACTATACAAAACACACTTATAGGAGTAAAAGGTTAATAACTTATGTATAAAACTGAGATACTAATAAAATATTTGAGTGACTTATGTATAAAACTGAGATACTAAGAAAAAGGGTTTGGTTTTTCTCACGTTGTCATCTTAACTTGAGAGAATGCTCGGGTTTGTAGGCCCATTTTGAGATCAATTTTGGTGATTCAAACCGTTCACTTTTTAGGACTTTTTGAGTAAAAGACTCATTCAAAAAATTCAAAATAA